TAAATAATTTTCAAAAATGTTGTTTCTCTATCATTTTCTGTAGTGACTTTTACATTTTGAAATGTCTATTGATTTATTTCACAAAGATGACACTTTTGTTACATGCTAAATTAACACTAAAAGCATGACACATAAAATGCACTTACAGAAGCGAATAGGCGTCTAAGTATGTGTCTATACAAGATCTATGTAGATAACGAGACAAAGTGGAAAAGCTATAGCACTACTCTAGACGCCCTTCATAGCAGACGTCCTCAGACTGGAATAAGAAGCACAAAGAAAAACGCATTGGAATATGCCGTAACTAGAAGTGTTTGGAATTCTCACCGTATTTTGTATTGTTGAAGCTATCGCTGACATTTTTGTCGATATCGACAAACTCTACGTTTAGATCAATTTCACAAACCGAATGATGAAATTTGAATCAGCTGATTTGTTTGGAAAATATTTTGAATTTTTAAGATTTAAATTATTTTTATAGGATTTCATGGTAAACAATATTTTTTAAAGAAAAATTCATTTTTTTTTGTTTGTTTTGTTTTTCTTTTTAACGGCGAAGAATAATTTCTTATGAATTCTTACTCTTGTGCATGCAACATACAACTGGCTATGCGTAAATATTTTATTCTGGAGCCAAATTGCAACTTTTTGAAGCGTTGGCCTTGTGATTTGTTTATAGGTCTCGCAAACGCAGTGCAACCTAGAAACTCGATTCTTGTATATAAAAACTTAAAGAAAAGATACGCAAAAACAATATTGCATTTATATTAAATAATTATTTGTTATTTGAATCATGAAATTAATTTAAAACTAGTAGGAGTATTTTTATGTTAGATAATGAAATTTAATTTTCCCCAAAAACCTAATGAAAAAATATTATACTAAGCTACACATCCTAGTAAAACTAACTGTACTTTATACACCCTGACCTGTTTGCACTTCTCCACAAAATTTAGTTTGGATCAGTCAATGTATGTCTACTTTTGAGGGTGTGACGACAAACGAATATATAGAATGCAATAAACCTGGAATTAGAATTACTATTGATGTCCATAATATTGCTAGTTTTGTTGCTATGGCATCCTCAGCTAAGCAATTGTTATGGGATGTGAAAGATCTTTTATTTTTCAATGAGTGCCTTATTAACTTCTCTTTGTGCAGTGAAATATTGTAAGAATTAACAAAATAAATAGCTTAACCAATTATTTATCAGAAACTCAGCTTATGATAAACGGAATCACATAATACCACATGACACTGCGATTGGCAGTTAAATGGGAGGGTCCAATCATCATATTTGCCAACGTTTTTGTTTTATAAGAGTCATGGATTGAGGAATCGGAGAGCCTATTTCGAATTCCAGTCGAATCTATTACATTCACTTACGTGCTAATACGCATGACTCCTCTTCGTTTCTAAATAGCGAAACAGATGGCAACTGGTTTACTGCAGAAAGAAATGGCAACCTACTGTGCGAAAATTCTGTCTCGTCAGTCATATATCGGAAGATACATGATCGCCCTAAGCGGGTATCACGCACGGCACATTGGAACATAACTGACTTTTGCTTTACACACACACACACACACACACACACACACACACACACACACACACACACACATATATATATATATATATATATATATATATATATATATATATATATATATATAAAAGTGAACATAGAAGTCAACACTTAGGGCGACAGTCTGTTTCATGCTAGATGCAATCCTCAGGTGGCCTGAGGATTGCATCTTGCATGAAACAGACTGTCGCCTCTAAGTGTTGACTTCCATGTTCACTTTTATATTTAAACACCTTCTATCTCTGATATTGAGCACTTTATCCCATAAATATAGCACATCTTAAGACTATATTTCTTCATATATATATATATATATATATATATATATATATATATATATATATATAGATATATATATATTAACTTTGAATCTGCGTTTAATGTAGTGTTCCTCCCATGAGATCCAGTCTTTTTAAATCAAAATAATTCGTGCCTGATGAGTTGACAGAACCACGAAATTTTAAGTTGATCTTCGAACGTAGGTATATGTATATTCATTAATATATACTTGTTAGCTATGTCTAACTACACTGAGCACTGTTTTGTTTACACCTTAAATTAAATTGAGTAAATATTTATTCGCTTTCCTGTGTATATACGCTAACGCATATATATATATATATATATATATATATATATATATATATATATAATTATAAATTAATTGATTTAAAATATGATTTAAATCAATTAATTTATAATATTTAAATTTTAATATTTAAAATCAATTAATTTATATTAATGCTCTGTAAATTTACATTGAGCACTATTTTGTAAAAAAAAAAATATCTATAAGAACACCGGATTTTATATCTTACTGTTCTTTTTTTTATATATATATATATATATATATATATATATATATATATATATATATATATATATATATATATATATGGTTGCTAATATCTAGTTATTTGGTTTATACCCACTTTTATATCTATATATATATATCTATCTATATATATATATATATATATATATATATATATATATATATATATATATACATATATATATATATATGTTGTGTGTGTGTGTGTGTTTTTGTTGTGTGTGTATGTATGTATATTATGTTAGGTGTTAAAATAGAATATCTGAACAAAAAGAAGAATTTCTGATGAACTCTTCGTTTTGGTACATCAACTTCAGGAATTTAACCTTTAATACTTGATTGGCAGATATGTCTCATCATTTTAAAGTTGAAATCGATAGATATAACCGTAAGTTCTATGCTAAGAGTTCCTTCTCACGCACTTATCTCTTGTGGAAATTTGTTCAGGCTTTTTCGTTTCCAGTCAGATCTTCAAAAAAATTTAAATGCTATCTTCTTAATTCCTTATTTTCTTTTATTGTTCTCGCTCTTTAATAATGTGATTTTTCAAATTTTTCTTATACCTTCCCACATAGTGGTTTTAGTGTCTTCATTGATATATATTTTTTAAAATAATAGATTCTCTCCTTCCATCCATGAAGAATATAAAATATATCAACCTGAATTTATGAAATGAATAGTAATCATTCGACAGATTATTTCCATTCGGATTAATATCCTCATTTTTGTTGTTGTTATCCCATTTCAGCCGTTGTGTCCCCCGTTCTTCATAAAGTGTCGATCAAGTTAACCTTCGGGGAATTTCGAAGTGAACCATTTATTTAATCCACAGGGAATATCTTGTTCTTATTCAGTACGGCTCTGTTTTTTGGCCGCCATGTTAACACTAAATCTGAGTTAGAAAATTAGTTCAATGGAAATAATATAAAGATTCAGCTTAAATGCTGCATAGATAAATAAATAAATATGAAAAGGAAGAAACAAAGCAAACACACAGATAATAAGAATCAACAGTGTGAAAAATTCTTGGTAAGTTCTACCATTATATCCTGAGAGATAACAAATACGAATGTCTAAGAATACGGCTTATGTCGAGAGATCGTGAAAGCTCGTTGTGTGTGATTGCTTAACTCATGAGATATGAGAAAATTTGAAAATCTTCTTCTTTCTTATAACACTTACACTCTTAAATAAGAAGAGCAGAGGCGTATAAGCAAGTTTATCATAATAAAACTGCTGAAAGTATTGCGTCTGCACAGTCAAACTCTTCTCCAAATGATAAATACTAAGGTTTCATTCTTCCTGGCGACAAATCATGTTTTCCAGATCCCGCGAAAATTTCCCGCCAGTTCATCCGGCTTCCACTTCCAAGAATGGACGTCAAAAAGCGTGCGACGCTTGATAGGAAACTGGATAAAAATTGACACAGATCGATACGACCAGAGAAGTACAAACGGAAATAAAGACATTAGCAGATTTATGTTAGGTTCTTATTTCAGATTTTACAAGTACCAGTCTATGGTTGCTAAGGAGAAGGGCGATAAAGTGAACATTTCTATTTGAAACTGAATTTAGAAAGCCAGTTAAAAATATTATAACATGTTTCGAATATTGTACTTATATTTACATACGCTCTATCTCTGACATTGTTCAATTTTACCCATAAATATTAGCCTACTTTTAAACTATAATTTTATAATGTATGTGCGATGGCTAAATTATCGCCATTTTATATTTTTAATTTCACGCATGCGCGTTGTTTGTTTGTTTTTTTATTTTGTCGGCTGCAGAGTATAATATGGTCAGTTGGGTACCGTCTGTAAGAAAAAGATCACCATGACGCAATTCAGCCCGCCAGAAATTTGAAATCGACATGCTTCATCGCTTTGGCATTCGCGCTGGAAGCTCTACTACGAACATTTCAGAGTATATAGGCGTTAATCTGAAGACAGTGCAGAGGATTCAAAAAGATGATGAGTCTGATGGTGATTACAAAGGTGTTTGAAGTGATCACTACTAATGGCGACGTTATATCTTCATTTATCTTCTAACAGGCTCTCAGACTCAACCCGGAGTCTTACATCAAGTGCTATGAAGAGGTAGTGCTGCCCTGGTTTAAGAGGGTAGCTGCTGAGGAACTAATGTCTGGCAACAGTACTCTGCATGATGCCCAACAAGCAGGGGAACCCAGTCATGGTTGTCAGACAGTTTATACGGCCATATCAACACTTACATCAGACCACCTATCTCCCCCAGACTGCAAACCACTTGATTATTATGTGTTCTGCACAGGTGAGTGAGATACCAACAAAACTCCTTGTAATCAAAGACGAACTGAAGGCAAGGATAATGGCAGCATTTGCCAACTTAAACAATGAGACTGTCCAGAAGAATTCTAAAAGATTCCAAAGTCACCTGGAGGCCGTGGTTGAAACCAATTGCGATTTTATTGAATAAATTTACACTTTAGTATTTCAAGATACTTTTTCGTAATTTTGGTAAATATCCCTCTTAAAATGAGATGTCGGTTTTATTTTATATTTTTGCATAATTTAGATGATGATTTATCCATCGCACCCGATAGATAGATAGATAGATAGAACAATAGATAGAACAATAGATAGATAGATAGATAGATAGATAGATAGATAGATAGAACAATAGATAGAACAATAGATAGATAGATAGAACAATAGATAGAACAATAGATAGATAGATAGATATGCAGGAGATTCCGAAGTCATCTAGAGGCCGTAGTTGAAGCCAACGTTGATTTTATTGAATAATTTTTATACTTTAGCATTTCAAGATTTCTTTGTATAAGTTTGGCAATTATAATTGTTAAAATGAGTCGTCAGTGTTATTTTCATTTTTGCGTCATTTAGACGACAATTTATCCATCGCACCCTGTCTCTCCTTTCGGAAGTCATCGGACTAAGTTCACGTTAATGCGACTGCACATGCGCACGAAAGTGGTACGCTGATAATGTTAAATTTAAAGATGATCACATTGTGATAATAGAAGATCTGGCAAGATAGGTGTAATGTTATGCGTCTCTGCGCGTGCGCATGTCTGCGCGTAAATTATTTTTCAGATATCGTGTATTGTTGTGTTCTGTGTCGTCTCGATTTCCCCCCCCCCCACGCTATTAATGAAAACGGTAACAACGAAAAGGGTCATTTACTTTTTTGATATTCGTTTTGTCAAGAGTCACACCTTGGATTCTAAGAGGCAGCAGGAGGAATGACGTGTCAGGCACGCATATCGCACGTTGACTCAGCGCTCTTCCACGCTTAGTATATTCCGGTCGCAAATCTGGGTGGGGGACGCATATCGACGCTTTAGAATTCTTGAAACCCTCTGTTGAATTCGCGCCACGAGTCACTTTGGCCAATCTCTGACCATTATGACCCTGGCCTTCGCACTCTGTAACAGTATCTGTAAAGAAACACAATTAATTAAAAAGAACAAGACTAAAAACTATTCTTAGCCGACGAGTTTAGTTTAGTATCAAGGTAATGTAGGATTTATTTTGTTGCACGTGTTTATATGCAAAATTAATGATGTCATTGGTTTATCAAAGCTTTTAGAGGTAAGAACGTTCATGAACATATTCAAAACATATGGAAGGCACAAAGTGTCTTAATTCGTAATTCAAAGTCTTGTAAAAAGTAAGCGAGTAATATTCAAGAATTTATTTTTAAATTAAATTGTTTTATTTTTTTAAATGAATATTGTTTATATGAAGATTGTTATGGTATTGGATCGACGTATATGCCGTCGTCTTCAAAAACAAGAGGTAATGGATACCATAAAAATTTATTCAATTCACGAAGGTTGACAATTTTAACCTGTTTACATCAACTCACCCCACCCCGGTTTAAAAAAAAAAACTTACTTTGTTTCTTTACTTTCGTTCCTGTAGTCTCCTTAGTTGTGATCCTAGTGGGGGTGGACTAATCAAGTCAGAAATGAAATAAACAGATAATAAAAAAAAAAAAAAACAGATAATAAAAATTGCTAAAATAAAAATAAAATAAAATGCATCTCAGACAGGAAGGTTAACACAACAATCTTGGCTATCAGGAACTCCAATCTCAGAGAAAAATCAAGGCCGAAAATTCTAACCTCGAGCGTTCAGAATTTAGGGACTGCTGGGTCGGGGTAATTAATACCTGTCAATCCACTGCATTTTGGGTTGCGACTTACAGACAGATTATGTTCAAACACCGGTTCTTGTATGTACCAAGCTGGAAATAGCAGGTGCTATGAGCTTGGAAGTGCAGGTGGTGTAAATAATGATGGCGTGGAATTTTGTTAATCGGAGAACTGAGATGCAACTGAAAATCAATTAATCATCTAGACTGTAAATCCATTATTCAGAATGAATGTCTAATATTCGAGATAAATTTCTTAAACAGACATAATAACATTAGAGTAATGATATGACAATATTTCTTCATTCACGTTCCGTGTCTCTTCATAACGTAGGTGAACATGCCTCTTCGTAAATTCTTATCCATTACAGCTCTAAAAAATGTTTGTCTCCTTACTCTCCCTTCTATTCCCTGTTGGGAATACCAGGTGCTGTAAGCTAGGATATGCACTTACTAAAATGGATAACGAACCGGCATTGGAATTCGGAGAGCCGAGTTCTAATTCCAATATTACTCCCAGATATGGGTTAAATAGCACAGCTTGCATCAGTAAATCATTATTACACCCAAAAATTTCATACAATCTAAAAGTATATGATGGTTTAGATAACCTACCAAAGGTTGATAAGCCGTAAAAAAATAAATCAATCAATAGAATGTAGATTCAATATATTTAATGGTATTCAGAATAAATATCTCATATTCTAGATAAATGAATAAAGGGGTAAGAATGATAAAATTTTTTCATGTGCCGTATCCTTTCAAAATCTGACTGAACATGACTGCCCGTAAATTCTTATGCATTGTAGCTCTAAAAAATGTTTGCCTCCTTACTAGTCCTCTTAGTTCCTATTGAGAACACCAGGTGATGTCTGCTTCGGTGTGTTGGTGGTGAAATGGATAATGGCTATGATTTGAAAATAGTCGGATTCTTTATGTTCAATTATACGCATATGCACTTGGGAAATTTATGAAGCCACAAGAAAAATTCGTACTAGCTAAAAATATTTTCTGGCTTTAAATAACTTACCAAAGGTTGATAAGCCTTAAAAAACCTTGGATTCAAAATTAACTTTTATTATTGATATTTATGTATGTCTGTCTGGAAAAAAAACATTTTCAGATTGAGTATATATGTAAAACTCCCTCAGAAGTTGATCTTTACTCGTTGCTCCATACTTCCAGCCTTGTGCCACATCTAAGCTACACTTAGAAAATCGCTATTTTACTTGGGCAAACTATATACACGACACTCACTCACGAAGAAATCTTACACAACCTTATCTAATATATGCCCTGTTCAATGCTGAGTATGATCTTACTGACTTTCCCAAACAATGTTAGGAAAGTGTGTAAATTTGTAACACCCTATTTATCATCTCTCAGTTAAGTCTCTCTCTTTTGGAAGAGTGCGCTCAGGGGTGATTCTGTCGAAGGATAGAATTGCAACCGAGGAAAATTATACTGAGAGATGCGGCGCCCTCTCATTGCACTAGAGCGATGATTCGGTGCACACACCAAGGCCAGCGCAACCGACGATAGCGGGGACACGCGCAATTTTTGTTCCTAGCCCGGGTGTACGCGCTCGGGCTCCTCACCTTAAAAACTGACCTTGTGTCGTCTTGTGGGAAGACAAAGTAAATACCATGTGAGGAGAGCTCTTCTTTTTAAGAAGTTATAAAATCAAGCAAGTAGAGTTTCAATTTGGCAAAATATGATAAAACCAGTCTTTGTAGATTGCAACTCTCTCCCTCAGATTAGGGTCACATAACTCTCTTACGTGCTGGTGGTGAAATGGATAATGGCTATGATTTGAAAATAGTCGGGTTCTTTATGTTCAATTATACGCATATGCACTTGGGAAAGTTATGAAGCCACAAAAAAAAGAAAAATTATTCCTAGCTAAAAATAGTTTCTGGCTTTAAATAACCTGCAAAGGGTTGATAAGCGGTAGAAAACGAATCAATTTAATCAAATCGAAAGACTTGCGTTGGCCATTGTGTAGCGAACTACCGCAGAAGTTTCATGTAGTTTTTGCAACGGTAGAATAAAATCAAGAATAAAATAACTTACCTCCAGCCTGAGCAAAGATTCGAACGTACCTCGCATGTAAACAGTCCAAAGAAAAAGACGTGGCAGCTTCGCGGGTTACACATTTAAAATCGCTTGATCCCGGAGTAAGATTCTCCCTCGCGAGAGAACCTTTGCGCACATGGTAATTTTGGATGTGAACGATACATAAAACCGGGAAGAACGTGTCGACAGAGAACAAAAGACGAGTGACTGCGAGAGAAGTAACTATTGGTTTGGTGCATAATTATCAAGCGTTCTTTAAACAAATATTTATTATAAAAAAAACAAACAAACATATAACAATTCAACAATAACATTTTTAAATAACTATTCCAGATGATTATCGACATGCATTTTTATCACCTGAAATAAAATAATATTTTTTATTAAAGAAAATAAACAAAACTGCAAATTTAATAACAAATAACTGGCCTACAAAAACGCCTGATAATTATGCACCAACCCAATAATTGCAGGCATTGGTTGCAAGGAAAAGTTTGATGTTCTATTGCTACACATTATTAGTCTAAAGCAAATTTATACTTAACTGTTACGTATCATTAAAATTAGGATGCTACATTTTTCATTACAAAAACAAAACTGAAATCACTCAGCCTGAAAATATACCTTCTTTAACAATTTTGCACGACTTCCTATCCTTTGTACCTCTAAGCAATGTTTGCCTTTCGTGCTAGTCTCTTTTCTGTTACGCATTTTTGTCCTCCATTTTGTTTCCAGAGGAGCGATGAACCGGTTTAGTCGTCTTTTTGCTAATCGTATTTGTTTTGATATTACCCATTATTTGTTAAATATTTTCTTCTTCTCTTCTTGTTTGATCAAGTCTAGTCTTAAGGCCTTATCTCGTTGAAACACCAGCTTCTGTTCGAGCCCCCGGCGTCGATATGTATATACGTTTTTACTGAAAGTGGATCTTTCCGGCCGGCAAGTACAAATAAACATTTCCAAAACATAACATTAAAAAAAAAAAACAGCTACAGACGTGTTTATACATCGATCTTACTTCTTTTTATGTCCTTCTGAGCTTGAAATGAGTCCAATTGTCAACTCCTACGTCTGGTAGAGGCATCAGCCACCGCTCGGGTACTTCAACGTACCTCAGTTTCTTAGTTCTTATATTAAAAACAAATTAAAAAAAATATCGTATGAAAATGAATCGTTTTTCCCAAAATAATTGTTGGGGAAAAGAGGTTAAGCAAAATTGAGCTTATTAAGTACCTTGATGGGTGACCACTTCAAAATATCAGATACTGTATTGTGCAGGATATATAATGGACAATTTTTCGGATTTGATAATCAAAGATCTGATCTTCAGTTACCGTTATGTTCACTATATTACCCATGAGGAAGCTATGAATCTACCTCTTGCCGGTTATGGGTTAATTAGTATGATTTGTTTAATTAAAACATTAGTACACCCACAAAAAATCATGTAAACTAAAAAAAATGTAAATAATTTGCAAATGGTTGATAATCCGTAAAAAACGAATCAATC